CTATATGCATATTTGTATACTTCGTATATAAAAATTTGAAAAAAACACATTTAATGGAAAAAATACCTTTTTTTATAAATAAATTTTGTAGACAAAAATGCCTTTTTTTATAAATAAATTTTGTAGACAAAAAAATACTAATTTTTAAAAAATTGGTATCGCTGTAAGAGATCAAACCCTTTCTTCTGAAATGCATATTTGTATACCTTTTTTTATACATAAATTTTGTAGACAAAAAAATACTAACCGATTTTTAAAAAATTGGTATCGCTGTAAGAGATCAAACCCCTTTCTTCTGATATGCATATTTATACTTCGTATAAAAAAATTTTAGAAAAATACTTAAAGGAACAAATACCAATTTTTTCTTAAAAAAAATATTTTAAAGAAAAAAGTTACTAATTAGTAATACAATTGACTACTTTATTTAAGTAAAATAGAAAATTACCTTTTATTTTCATATATAACCTGTTATGTAAAAAATCAAAAACCATGGTGCTTTTATACTTTTATATGCCTTAGACTTCTGTTACATACATATTCTTTTGCTTTATTTTTAACAGGGCTGTGGGTGAACAAGAACGAATTTATGCTTAAAACACTAATAATTATTTGGATGGATGGAATTTGTGTGAAATTTTTTTTTACAAGAAAAAATTGGTACTTTTTCCTTTTAAGTGTTTTTTCTAAAATTTTTATATACGAAGTATACAAATATGCATATTAGACGAAAGGGGTTTCATCGCCTTAACAACGATGCCAATTTTTTAAAAAAAGGTGAGTAGTTTTTTTGTTTAACATTATTATTTTTTGATAAAAAAGTTATTTTTCCTTTTAAGTGTTTTTTCTCAAATTTTTATTCACAATACATGTATACAAATATGCATATAAGAAGAAAGAGGGTTTAATCGCCTTTACGATACCAATTTTTTTTTAAATCGGTTAGCAATTTTTTTGTTTAAACTATTTTTTTATACGAAAAAAGTTATTTTTTCATTTAAATGTGTTTTTTCTCAAATTTAAAAAAAAAACAGTTCAAATTTTTTTGAAATATAGTTTTTATTTTTTTGAAGATCTGACCTGTAATATAAGTTTTCACAAAAAATTTATATACCATACAAATAAGAGCTAAAGGCGGACCACGTCTGTATTTTTATTTTTTTTTGCTTTTTACATGCAATAATTAAAAATAATTGATCACCAAAGGTGCAATTTCGAACTTGAAGGCCCATATCTGGATTTCGGAGGCTAACTTCGAAAAACGGAGAAATTACTTTTTTTACATATGACTCAGTCCCTTAAAAAAGTCCCCTGTGGGGAAAATCTCTAGTTCTGAACTGGTGCGCTTCTAGTACATTTAGACCCAGTACTGGTTCGCGATAAATCTCTTTTGCATGCAAGCAACTGGCGAATTTAACATGGCGATGTAATAGGAAGTGTCAATTGCCCCCCGCTGCATCCCTTTTTCGATAGTTCCGAACTAGACCTAAATTCTATAGTTCCGAACCAGTTCGGAAATCGACAGACGAAAGAAAAAAGTATCATGATTTTTCAATCTTTTTGGTTCTCCCGTGTGTGCGATTTTAAGTTATTTTGGAAGAAATGTGTTTTCAATTTGAAATTAAATTTGTTTGAATGATTGTAAGAAATGTACGTTTACATACCTTTAGCTGTAGCTGAGTTTGCAGAGGTGCTCGCTGTTAGATTCCAGACGGTCCCAAGATGTTGAAATGTTAACACAAATTTTGGTTTTGTATTACCAAGCTATGAAAAAGCATCTGCGAAATGCAGGATAGAAGCAAATTTGAACGAAAAAGCCGCTGAACACATATCTATGTAAAGTAAACAAGCCCCCTGCTGCATCCCTTTTTCGATAGTTCCGAACTAGTTCTGCACTTTAGATAGAGATTTCTAGTGAAAAAACTGAAAAAAAATTGTTTTTTTAAAGTACTACTTTTTGCCGATTTTGGACTGGTGGGGATCTAGCTCCTTTTTGGCGATAAAGACCTAGTACGAAACTAGAAATTTAATTCACTAGTCCGTGGTTTCCCTGCAGGGTTTGTTTGGTCCAATACCCAGCCGAGTGCTGTACAGTATAATGAAATAAACTTATATAGTCATATGTGGGCGGTATCACGGTAATTTTCGAAAATTCCAAATAATGTTACTTATTTTAAAAGGATTGTTGTTAGAATCAATCTCGATAGAACGGTTACCGAGATACATAAATGTGATCATAAGTGGGCGGTGCCACGCCTATTTTCCAAAATTGTATCATAAACGTATTCCATGTTAAAGAATGCATCAATTTTCAATAACTTAGCTTTCGTATTTACTGATTTATCGAAGATTTCATATTTTTCAAAATTACCGTTATATGGGATGTGGGCGTGGTTGTTATCCGATTTAAAAATTTTCAGCCATTTGGTATGTTGTACCTGTTCCAAGTTTGGGAGAAATTGGTGGAGCGGTTACGAAGATATACACATCGTTTTGCCAGTTACAAACAACCATTACATCAACAAAGTTATAATACCCTTGTGCACAAGTGCGCTCGGGTATAAAAATAATATGCATAACTCATAAATGTTTGGTATTTTCTTCTCTGCTTCTGTAAGTCCTTCTACCGTTATAATATACCCTGTAGGGAAACCGCGGACTAGTGAATCAAATTTTTAAAAAACGAATTTTTTTCAGTTTTTTCACTAGAAATTTATATCTAAAGTGACGAATTTAGAAATGGTTCGGAACTATAGAAAAAAAGATGCAGAACGAACTAGATCTTATTTGTCGAATTTAGAACTAGTTCGGAATTATCGAATAAGGGATGCAGCGGGGGGCTTGTTTACTTTACATAGATATGTGTTTGGCGGCTTTTTCGTTCAAATACGCTTCTATTCTGTGCTTCGCAGATGCTTTTTCATAGCTTGGTAATACAAAACTAAAATTTGTGTTAACATTTCAACATCTTGCGACCGTCTGGAATCGTAAGAAATAACAGCGAGCACCTCTGCAAACTCAGCTACAGCTAAAGGTATGTAAACGTACATTTCTTACAATCATTCAAATAAATTTAATTTCAAATTGAAAGCACTTTTCTTCCAAAACAACTTAAAATCGCACACACGGGAGAACCAAGAAGATTGAAAAATCATGATACTTTTTTCTTTCGTCTGTCGATTTTAGAACTGGTTCGGAACTATAGAATTTAGGACTAGTTCGGAACTATCGAAAAACGGATGCAGCGGGGGGCAATTGACACTTCCTAGGACATCGCCATGTTAAATTCGCCAGTTGCTTGCATGCAAAATAGATTTATCGCGAACCAGTACTGGGTCTAAATGTACTAGAAGCGCACCAGTTCAGAACTAGAGATTTTTCCCACAGGGTGGCGGTGGCAATTGTCGCCCAGTGCATTACTTTGAAATCAGTTTTTAACCGGTTCCATTTTGGACAGTTTTTTTTATAAGAAAACGTTTTTGCGATTAGATTTTTGGACATTTTTTCGTTTTTCTCTTCTTTTACAGATTCAGTTTTTGTTACATATTTTATTTAAAAAAACATATAAGCTGTACGCAACAATTTAAATTAATTTAATTTAAAAACTCACAACTGCCTCCACCGCGATTTCAACTCGCGATCAACGATGGTTGAGTCGGAGGTCTTCTCGCTGAGCTACTTTCGTATTGTACGATTAGTGAGCATTTGCACATATACACCGCAAGTTTCAACTGCCGCGCTCTGCGATCCTTTTGCACTAGTTCAGAGCTAGTTCTGAGATAAATATGTAGTTTGGAACTAGCACTTTGTCAGACTGTCTCCAAATTTTACTGCAGGGTGTATACAAAACTGAAACCTGTTTTCGGCCGACTGCCCAGTCCAGTGTGCGTTCGAGTGGTGGACTGCTCAGTCCGACTGAGCAGGCTAGTGTGCTCAGGCCCAATGAATACGACCCATCATATTCTCAACAGTTTCTAATGAAATTCTATTTCTCTTTACATATTGGATCAATTTTTAATCTGAAAATATATGCTCTGCAGCTGCAGAGCTATTTATGAGGCAAGTAAAGTAAATTAAAAATGAATGAAGTCAGCTCTTTATACATAGTTCATTTAAAGCATTTTTCATTAAGCTTATTTGACCCCAAACCTTTTTAGTATTTTCGATGAAATTTTAAAAGCTGCCACTACGTACATAAAAATATATTTTCTCTTTAACATGTATCAAAATTTGTACTTTGCGAAAAATTTAAGTATCTCGCGAAATGAGCGAAAAAAATAAAGTATCTTCCGAAAATTTGCACAAACACGTATCACTTTTGAAGTATATGGATCAAAACGGCAATACTGATTGCAGCATCTTACCCAACAGCTAAGATATTAGAGTTTTACAGGTGGGGTATGCAACACTGACTGAGTATTTTTAAGCGAATATTTTTTTGTATGTATGTTACTTACCGGATAGCTTTGAACCATGTGAACCGATTATTCTTTTTATCGGAAAGGTGGTACCTCAAGGGTGGTCCCATACTATTTTGGTTCAGTTCCGACCATTGCGTCATGAAGAAGTTAAAGGTACTTTTTAATTTTTATATGGCCACTAAAGTCGGCTGTATGTTTCAATTGAAAATTACTGGTTTTTTAATATGGTTTGCCCAAAATAAATTTGGGAATATGGATGGAAGTTTTAAAAATTAAAAATTACCGTCAACTAAAAAGACATTTTGTATGAAAAATTATTAAGATGGTAAGACAGATAGATTCATTACCTTTATAAGGAATTTTATTGACCCCACTTGACTTGTCGTCTTGTGCGGTTAAAGCAATTTCCGACTGTGTACAAATAAGGGCGCAACAAAGAATACAATTTCAATAAACATAGTTTGTATGTATAATCTTAACATGCATATAAACCAGTCATTCGTACATATGTAGAAAGGTGCGTATGTAAAAATGTGTACATAAAAATATGCAGTACAACAACTTTTTAAGTGCACTTACTTTTGGTTTCCATTTTTTGGGCAATAAACCAGGTCCTGTGAGCGTTGCCATTATGTAGTTGAAGGTGGCTACTGAGGAGAGCAGCAGAAACAGTCCCTGATTAATAAAACCACCCAAAGTGGCATTCGGTGGCCACCACATTGAGTTCATATAGAGCGTAGTTAAAGTTATTACCTTTATTATGCCTGAAATTATGGAAATAAGGAAAAGTGATTAAAATTCTGAGTATTATTTATGGTTAAGTAAAGTTAACGTGCGCATACTCATATGCGTATGTAGTTATCGCCCGTTTGCTGGAAGAATGACATATTCCAAAAAATCACAGTGCTATTATCAATTCCGTCGGAGATCCCGTCGTGACATCGCTATCATGAATTCCGTCGTGATCACGAAATTCTCCCGCAAATTCGAAATTCGTGAGAATGGTATCACTGATTTCGAGTTATTTTATTGTGATTTATTTTATTTTGATTTAGAATTATCAAAACATAAAAACAAACAAAATCCAAAGACAGCACTAACTATGAATGTGCTGAATTCATAGTTTAGTGAACTAGAGTTTGGGAATGGAACGAATTTAATTGATGTTATGTGCTAGAAGCAAACCTCCATACAAAATCTGAAGCAATATTTTGTAGAAAGTCGTTGCTAATCCCCATTGTAAAGTCCCCCTTCTTCATAACGTAACATTTCTAGTTAGTACATTTTTGAAGAACGTCTGCGATATGTACAGTTCCTGGTTTTTATTTGGAAAATTATGCAAAGCATTATTATTACACGCAGTCCTAAGAGAGCCTACATAGAAGTGGGCTTACAATTAGTCAAGCAGCGCCCAGTGCGACACAAATCTGAACCGTTTTCAAGTTACATTTTTAAATGAAATATAATAAAATTTTGCTTCGAATTATAATCGGAGATTTTTAAAACACACTCTGTTTTATTTTATTTATTTATATTGCAAATGAAATAAAACAAATTATTTACAAAATTATTCGTATAATTTTTTTCATGGGGTTATATTAATCAAAAAATTTTATAAATTTGTTATTAACAAATATTTAATTAATAACTCAAAAAGCAAAATTCATGGCCATGTTTTTAGCACCAATGTACGGCGTGGCAGCTATTGACTTTGTATAACTGTATTTTTTTAGTATGTATTTCTCCTTGTATTTAAGTGGACTTGCGGCTTGTCACATATACTACTTTAAGGCCACGATAATTTTAATTTCCTGATGCCCAGATACATATACATATGTAGTATCTTATGTGAATTCACACTAGGCATTAAATGACAACATTTTCATTGGCAATGTTTGGCATTAAACAATTTTCGTAAAATTACGTGCATAAAAATATTCACTAAGTCTAATTCCACATGGCACTTTTTAAATGGCATACATTTTTACAAACTTTTATTTAACTTGGCCATCCCGCGGAAATTTCCAATCGATTTTAAACTAACTTCCCGACAAGCTAGAGACTTGAAATTTTCCGCATAGTTTCAATCACGATGACAATGCAATATACAATAGTTGCGTTCGATAACAAAATTAGCCAACACCAGCCAACAATCAAAATCAAGAGAGTAAGCGAAAATTCTCTCCCAAAGAGAAGAAAAAGCAAAAAAGTAAACGAACAGGAAATTAGCCATCACTTGCAAAAACCGGAAGAAGAAGACACACCAGCTGACTTTGTTTATGTTTTATTTGTAAACCAACTGAAATTCATGTTGCCTCCATGGAAGAAAAAAGGAAAGTGAACGTTCAATGTTCGCCAGGAACATTTCTAGAAGTAAAAACTAGTTGGCGCTATCATAAAGTCACATAGCAGGCAGCCAAAAAGCATACAAATAACAAAACTCGAAAAATGCAATTTTGTTTGTTCACAAAAATTGCAACCATATGTTTTCGTGTTGGATAATTTTTGCTGACTAAAATTTTGCCAGTACAAAATGAACGCTTCTCTTGCATCAAAATGAACGCTTGCTCTCTCAAGTTTTGTGTGTTGGATAATTTTTTGTTGTTATCGAACGCCACCCAGTAAAAATTTGGAAAAACTATTACAAATTTTTGACTTGTCGAACGCAACTAATGTAAATTAATTCCCTAGATGGTCCACGGGTCTTGATACGAAGGCGGTCAAAATACAGTAAAATTTATGACTAACAGAGCACAATTTGTCAAAAAACGTAAAAGCGCTATAAATTTGTTTAATAATAAGTATAATTTCAGGCGCAAGTAAGAGAAATACCGAAAATTAACTTCAACTGTGTTTAACATAGCCAAATTGTTAAATTTTAGGCACTTCTGTTAAAAATTACATTATTTGGTTTCCTCACATAGGGAGTTAGTGAAATAAAGAGATACGATATAAGGCCTGAAAAATGCACATGCATGCATCTAAAAAGTGTACATACTTCTAATATCCCGCAGGCGAAAAAATTTCAGTTAGTGCGATGTGCTTCTTCTGAATACTGTTAAGGCGATGCGGATAATGCTACATAGGCGTGTGCCATGGGATGTTAAAGGTAAACGGAAAACAATTTTCTATAATTAACACGCCGAAGTGGTCAAGAGGATTAGCTTAGGTGAACATTTAAAGAACTTTAAAGCGACAAGATAAGACCTTTATAGGAACTGTTTGTTCATAGAGCGCTACTGCTATGCATATAACAGAGAGTAGGTGACGTCGTTATCGATGTTTGAATGGGGGTAAGTGTTAGCCAAAGATGGCGAAAACCACCCTTAGGGCCGTTTTTTCAATGTGTGGTTATCACTCCCCTCCCAGTTAAACGTCATTATCGACATTTTACCACCGCTTAGTGTTAACCGGATATTGAACGGCCCTTAGTCAATTGTTGTCGTTTGACAGCGTCAAACTCTCTGTCGTGCTTTTGAGATTCGGTTTCAGCCAAGGTACATTGAACAGGTAGTATCAGTAGAGCAGCTGATTTGATTTATTTTCAAATTATTTGGTCTCGAAAATGTCAAATATTTTTAATTTTTTCTCACAAAAATTCTGAATTGTTAAAATCCATTTGCATGTGAAACCTTTTTCCATACAAAACAAGCTATTGAATAGCAGCTTTCGGAACGTTCCCCCAACTCAGCAGCACAACCGCTGATTACTGGCCCTTGTAAAGGATGGATCAATGCTTCGAGAAGCAAACAAATTTACTAGGAAAGAAAGTTGCAACAATTTTTATTTTTTCCAATTTCAATTTTTTATTTTTTATAATTTTTTGTATTTCACATGGCACGCTTTGATTTAGAAGAAAAAATTCAGAACAGTTTTTGACACTTTCGATACCAGAAGCAACAACAAAATACACGCAAATGTTGTTTTTGCTCTACTGATACTACCTGTTTAATGTGCCTTGGTTTCAGCATTCTACGTAAAAATTTGTTAATCAAATAATTTGATTTGATTTAAATCTGAAAAGTGCTCTAGCAACGTCACAATAATTTTAATTTCCTGTGCATTCGTCTTAAGAGCGCACATATGGACATATGTACGGATATACATATCGTCGATTTTTTGCAAAACCGCCCATCGACCAATTACAAAACCGCCTATGTATCTTACGGCACTCAAATTTTACAGAGAGTTTTAATAACGAAGTGAATCAGTATAAATTCTTAGTAATTTTCATTAGAGTTTGAGGAACTCCTTTCACTATTTGGCTTTTAGTAACTTTAGCGAAGGCTTAACTTATTTTGTTTTATTAATTTAAATGCAGTTTTTACAAAATTTTCTTGCTAAAAAATCGTTTGTTAAACTACTTTATTTTATTCTTTTGATTGTACATCTTAAATAAAAGCTTGTTTTAAAAACATTTTTTTTTTTCATTATTTTATTTGTCATTTCACTCCCGTAAGAACACGACAAAACCAAAAAATTTCAAATCACACAAATATACTCACGAAGATATAGTGAAACTGCGGTCTTAGTTTTGCCCTCTGACGTAAGAATTTTTTTAAACGTCAAAATTTTAAATATAAGATCAATTAAAAAAATTATTTTAAAAAAGGTTAGTGCAATGTGGAATAACAATATGCGTCCCAAATTAAAGGGCGAATTCTGTTTCGGACGAATACGTATTGAAAAAGCTTTTTTAATTAATTTCAGTTTTTAAGCTAATAAACTTAGAAGGGCGAAATTCGAGGATATGTTCGTGTGTAAATTAGTCCTTAATATAAATTTTTTGTTACAAAATACGTATTGCAAATTTTGAAGGATTAAATTTTAAAAGGATTTGTCAGTACTTATGCGTCCATATTAGGGAATCCAATACCGCAAATGCGGGGTCCGGTGCCATTTTTGCGGGATCAGAAATTAGGGATTACATATGCGGGATACGCGGGACTGCAGAAAAAAATTTAAAACGCGAGTGCGAGTTGTGAACTATTTTCTTGAGCTTCCTTCCAGATGATAAGTTTCGAATATTCGTAACTCTGGTTCTATTACAGGCACACATTCAGGTCTGGTGTAATTTTCAAGAGTATCTTATATACAATATATATTACTTTAACGCCACTTTCAAATATCAAGCGGGGTCCCGTGCCATTTTTGCGGGATCAGAAATTAGGGTTTACATATGCCAGATACGCGGGATTTGCGGGACTGCAGAAAAAAATTTAAAACGCGAGTGCGAGTAGTGAATGCCGATTTTTAATAACATTATGACATCTCATCAAATTCATGCCACCTGATCACTAGAAGAAATATTTTCTTTTTTAAGCAGAAGATTTTATCAGTACATTCAAAGGTGTGAAATATGATGGACTTACAAATTATGCCGGCTACATAATTTCGAAAATGGGGTTGATGACTAGGTTTTACAACGCATGAAGAAAGTGATCAAAATTATACTTACATATCGTCGTTTAAAGCATGATAAAAATATAGTACGGTAGAACCGCTGAGAGTCACTTTTAAAATTCTTGACGTTTCCAAACAATTTAGCTTTTAAATTTACTCACAAACTCACACACACATTTTCATTTTCCATCTCCAGCAACAACAATTTCGAATAATTTCAATTTTTTATTTTCACTTTTATATGATTTTAAAATGTTGGCAAACTTCAAAAAAAATCATGGCCGACAAATTAAGAGAACGGTTCTACCTTGCTATGCTTTTATCATGGTTTAAGGTACAAAACCGCGCATCGTCGTTCTCC